TTTTTATAGATTTTGGTATTAATCATTCATAATGTAATATGCAATACATATGTAAGTAAGTAGTTATATAGCAGGTATATAGTAGGTATGTTAAATATTCCAAATTACATTTATGTTACTTATACAATATGTAAAACTCAAATCACAATTTGTAACACTCTGCCTACTTTTGTACCTTTATTGTAGTATTATCTAATAAGTTTACTCTGATCTTCAAAATATGTGATTTAAGGTTTTTATAAATTTATAAACAGGTTAACAGAAGTACTTATTATTATTATATTTTGTGGTATTTATTTCCATGGTTTTATGTCATTCTTTGAGTAGGTACCCACACTTATTTTTATATAAATTGCATATAATTTACTGTTATAACTTTGAATCATGTTTGGTGAAACATTTAGGGTTTGGTGAGTACACTGGATGTCAAATTTGAGAGCAAAGAAAAATTAAAATCCTCCCAAGTGATTAAAATCTATTTATCAGTGATTGTTACTATTTAAGTATTTTTTTGGTGTTGATAGCATACTAAACAATTATTTAAAACATTATGTCAGCAACATGGACATATAATTTATACTATTTAGGTATATTAAATAAATGCTCAAGTTAACAAAAAACAAAAATTAAATTGCTGTTTCTTACCAGCTTATATTTGTGTTAATTTWWWWAAAAAATTATTTATACAATTTTTATGAGTATAAAAGCTATTTTAAGCAAATTTGTGATAGAGATAGAGAGTAAAACAATATTGATTATTCTAATATAAACGAATAAGAAAAACTATATAGATAGGTACATTCAAATAAAATACAAGGAATATGCACTCATTACGACCAGACACTTGTCTTATGAATATGTGCTTGAAATTATTTACACCAAAAAGTTTGGAATTGCTCTATCCATAATATAYCGTATTATCTAAGAGGTAGTGGCACCGAACTCCTAAAAATCTAGTAGCGCGAAAATGTTTTCAAGAGGCCCATGTCTTTATAATTAAAGGTGTTTCTAAGAGGTTAACAATCAATAGAACAACTTGATAAGTAAACACTTACCTATATTGAAAACCAACTAAGGATCTTTTTATTATCATTTATAATATAATTTTGATTTATACAATACAATTTGATATGTWGGTARCTTAAAATTGACGGCAGTTCATGACTACTAGCCAATAGATTTCCTAATTTTTAAAATTGTTTGCAATTTAAAGGTGTTTTATTACGTTCACTCACGTGTCACGTTGCCTTCATAATATATATTTTCATTAAATAAACTAAAATTGGTGTAATAGTAAAAATTATACATAATGATTATATATTCAATAAATTTCAATTAATTTTCTTATACCTACATCTCATTGCAAACAGGAGCTGTCTAAATCTTCATTCACCAAAGAAATAATAACTAGGTATAAATAAGTTTTTGGGTTTATGAGTTTGGATATTGTGGATTGCAGTCATAGGTTAGGTTTCCTAATTTCGTTTTTTTGCTTTTTGAAAAATAATTTGCCTACGGGTGCCATTCCCCCCTTCCAAAATTTTTTTTTCATAATTTAATATTGTTTATTTTTTTGTGTACACATTTTTTGAACATTAATAATCATTTGTCTCAATAAAACTCATTTTATCACGATTTTATTATTCTCAATAGTTTATTTAATTTTTTTTTTTTATTGGAATTATACATTTTGCAGTCTWCAGTATGAATTCTAATATTCTAATATTTCAAATTTTGAATTATATAATCAGAATCAGAATCTAAAAGAATTCACTACCATATTATATTTGGCAAGATTTCAGTAGTGAAACTGACTATTGCAATAGACATGTCTGACATAAAATTTTTATACATATAAAAAACCATGCAATAACTCATTTAGTCTGCAATGCGTATTCCGGATTTTCTTATCACTTAAATTAAAATTTTTTTATTACTATAATAAACATTATATACAAATTCGACATCTAAAATAACTGAATGAAACAAAAAAAAAGCCAAAATAAATTGGTTTATTTGGAATAAGAATGGCGTGAGTCTGATTTATATATATATATATAAATTAAATTTCTATCTCGTACCTATATGAAAAAATAAGTATTTGCTTTAAAACCCTAACCCTACTTATTATAATTGTTATGACCTTATGATTAACAATATTATTATGCTACGAAGATATTGTGTTTAATGAGATTGTGGTGGCACATGATTGGCATATTGGTGGCTTTTGCCGTAGATAATTAATTAATTRTAATAAATAACAAATTTGTAATTAATTATTAGTTTCATATTCGGAGAAAACTTTTGACTTGGAATTTTACAAACTAGCTGTCGCCCGACATGGTCGGTACAGAAAATTAATGTGTACACTGTATAACTTAATTTTAACTTTAAAAAACAGTAATCACATTTATTTAAATCAATATATTTTTTATTTAATAGTTCATAAAGAAATTATTTTAGTAAAAATATGCATGTGCTTCTAACATTTAAACACCATCTTAAATATTCTTAATCGATAATCAAATAAATAAATTTAAAAAAAATAATTAAAATAATACCAAAGTACTCTATTTTGTTATACATAATTTTAATTCAAAGTTATGCATTATTTCAGTATAGTTATCTCATTTAATTGTTGCCCGATGCCCTGCAATGAACAGATTGTATACAAGGGCATCGTTGATACAAAAGTAGTA